TCTTTACTTTGCCCAATCAAAGGCTCCTATTGTTTTTCACTCTGGAGAAAATTACTGGCCATGGACCGCCACTGAATGTGGTGCATACAAGAGAACAATGGAGTCATGTGCTTAAGCCTCAAAGATAGAAGTGGAGGAAGATACCATACAGCCACAGAAACCAAAAAGAGCTTCCAAAACTTCAAAGAACCAGACAGCTTCTGCCTACATGACTACATAGCAGTACCCTGAAGTTTTCATGATAGAATCTATTTCTAACATTTTCTCATTGCAGAACCTAAAACTTACATTTAAGAGACACTCTGCTGGATCTTGGAATATTTTAGGGATAGGCCTAAAATGGCAGTAGGACCTAAGAATGTAGCTCAGTGATAGAGCAGATAGAAAGATATAGATATAGAAATATTATACAGTACAGTCCCCCCAAAAAAATTCAGGAAAAGAAAAACTTGTATAAACTTCTTCATACTAAATTTATTGAGCTAGAGCCGGGCATGGTGGCGCACACCTGTAATCCCAGCACTTGGGAGGCTGAGGCAGGAGGATCGTTGCGAGTTGGAGACCAGCCTGGGCTGCAAAGTGAGCTCAAGGCCAGCCTGAACTGCATAGAGAGACCTTGTCTCAGAAAGACAAAAAAAATTTATTGAGACATCATGAGATTAATACAGGTTACCTTTGGCTTCTACAGTTACAAGAGGTGCTCAGAGTGGAGGCCATTAGCTTCCAGATGTTTGTTAGTACGGTGAACAACTGCTTGGGTGACCTTGGTCATTAGGATTGCTGCATATGTGGTTTTTGTTTATTTGTTTGTTTGTTTTTTGTTGTTTGTTTGTTTTCTTTTTGTCTTTTTGAGATAGGGTCTTGCTATGCAGTTCAGGCTGGCCTTGAGCTCACTCCTGTTGCTCAGGCTGGCCTCGAACTCGCAACAGTCCTCCTGCTTCACCCTCCCGAGTGCTAGGATTACAGGCTTGCGCCACCACACCCGGCTTGCATGTGTTTTCTGTTTCTTCTCTAAGGGCCTGCAGTGTAGTGGGTTTTCTGAGATACACGACATCCTCTGGGGCCCCCCTACGGGGGTAACACCATCTGTTGAATAAACATCATCCTATTTGTCTTTTACTGAAGTGTGTACACATTTTTAGGTGGACTCTATCTCTCCAGTTTCCTTTGCTCTACTGACCCTGGGAGGATCAGGAGCACAGCTCTCCTGCTCTTCTGCCCTGGTGCCACCTGGAGGCTCCTCCTCCAACACCTCCTCCGACAGGAGCACCTTTGTTCGCACAGGTGAGTTAATTAACAGCCGTATGATTTCCAGAAGAAGCAAACCCCGGAAACAGCATAAATATCACACAGCAGAGGAGGAACCAAACCCACAGATGGAGGGGCCCGATCCCCACTTCCACTCCCCGGCAGCTGTGTCTCCTGCTGGGCCTGCGGAATCCACCACAGCAGGAAATGGTTTGGGGTTTTCTGTTATGAACATGATAGAAGTTTAGAATATTTTTTAAAAATACAGAAACATAAAAGGAGGAAGAAAACACCCATTTTCTTCTAAGCTATTAACATTTTATATTTTCCCTTGTTCCTTTTTAAACACAGTTTTACATAGCTGTTGTTAAACACCGTATGGGACCTTGTAGTCTTAAACTTTAACATTATAATGTAATAAACAGCAATGTAGTATAAGACAAAGAGGGCTTGGCTTGGAGCCTGAACAGTGAGTATTAACTTAGCTCTGCTACTTGCTGTATGACTTAGGCATATAATTTACCATTTTGGAGACTCAAGTTTGCCCTTTTTTTTTTGTCTTTTTGAGACAAGGTCTTGCTATGCAGTTCAGGCTGGCCTTGAGCTCACTTTGTAGCCCAAGCTGGCCTTGAACTCGCAACGATCCTCCTGCCTCAGCCTCCCAAGTGCTGGGATTACAGGCGTGCACCACTATGCCTGGTGAGGTTTGTCATCTGTGTAATGAGGATTAGAGACACATCCATTCCTTGCCGCCACTTTTCTGTGTGGCCCTCTAGATTGTAAGATCTGTGACTTGTCCTCTGCCAGGTCCCTACAGTCTGGCCCTAGTGGATTAAAGATGTGAAGATTGCCACAAAGTCTTCCCTAGCCCTACCCCTCTCCACAAGTAGAGTTTATTTCTCCACCCTGTGGAATCTTGAGCTGGCCTTATGTGGTGTCAGCTTCCAAGGTGGTCCCCAGCGATCCTTATTCCTGGTCATTTTCACCCTTTCACAGTCTCCTCTGCCCACAAACCAGGCTGGTGGCAGGGAGGATGGCAGAAGGACAACATACAGTGTCTGCAACCAGCTCAACAAGAGTACTCAGGCTTCTGCCTTGGTCTCTTGGATCACTTGCTCCTGGGGAAGAAGCTACCATGTTGCAAAGACAAGGTAAGCAGCCGGTGCAGAAGCCCACGTGTGGAAGAACTCCTGCCAGCGAGCGCAGTTAGCGGACAAGACAGGTGAGCCACTTTGGGAATGCTGCAGAGAAGTCCCGATTTTGTCTGCAATCTCCTGAGACTCCCCAAGCCAGAACTCCCCAGAAAGACTTCTCTGATTCCTCACCCACAAGAACAGTGAGAGAGAAATGCTGATTTGCATCTTCAGCCAGTAAGTTTGGGGATTGCTATGCGGCAGTATTACTGTACATCCTATGACTGGCTTTGGCCAATAGCATGAGTCAGAAGCGACATTCTGGGACTTCTGAGCCCAGGCCTAAAGGGGACTGAGGCTCTTGCTTCCTGATTCTTGGGACCCAGCCTCCCGGGTAGACCAGGCTGTGTGCAGAAGACGCCAAGAAGGGAACTGAGACCTCCAGGTGGCGTTCCCAGCCACCCTCCCCGCCAAGAGTCAGTGCCGGGGCCATTTCCGGGGGTGAGCCGGCCAGGAGGTTCAGCGGAGCTGTGCCCCGGATTCCTCAGCTGTAGCTATTAGGGTGCTGAGCTCAGTCAGCCCACAGAAATGCGAAGGCAAACAGGATGGCTATTGTTGTAAGCCTCTGAGTGTGGGGGTGACGCGGAGCACAGCAGTGTTTAGCCCTCACACTAGCCCTGCCCCTTAGCAGGCAGTCAGCTCTTGAGAAACACTGAGTGAGCGGGCGGCCCTTGCTCCATTTCCTCCTCCACAACACGCAGAGCTGGGCCGCCCCGGGCCGCGCATCCCCGTGACTGCAGCCCTCCGCCCTGCGGAGCCTGCTCACCTGGCCGCCTGCCCCAGGCTCTCACTTCACTCTTGCGGACGACTCCGTGTCTGTGGCATCTCTGCCCCACCTGTGTCGGTTCCTTCTTCTCCCGTGATGCCCACACCCTCCAGCGACCTGCTTCCTTGTGACGCTCTCCCAGCAGTTTCCCCACGCAGCCGTGTGACTTGACAGGAAGAGTGGCCGGAGGCCTCTACCTTATGGGTGGCACCATTCCCAGTAGGTCCCTGGGACACACAGGCAAGGAGCAAGAGAGATGCAACTATGTTTGCCATTTTACCCCTCCTCAAGGCCAAGACTTACGGTGGGTTACTGGTTAGAAAAATGACTGGCCTTGCCTGTAATCCCAGCACGCAGGAGGCTGAGGCAGGAGGATTGCTGTGAGTTTGAGGCCAGCCTGAGCTACAATTCAAGGCCAGCCCAAACCACATAGCGAGATCCTGTCTCGAAATAAATAAATAAATAAATAAACAAACACCTAAACAAGAAAAGGAAAAAAAAAAAAAAAAAAAATGACTGGCTTCTTTCATAGTGTCCAGGTCCCTGGCTAAATTTCCTAACACAAAAAGTATCTACTTCTGGAAACAGATGTTGAGTCTCTGGCTTCTTAGGATCTCTTGTTTGTCACAGATGCACCAGTTACTTTTATTAGCAAACCCTACGGGTTTTTTTGGGGGGGGATCTATAATATCCATTAAAGATAAATAAATAAAAGGAGACATCAAGTAGCTAGCCTAAGGTCAAGGCAAACCCAGGTTACTGGTAGATTAGAATCACTCCCCTTCTGCTTCCAATCCCTCCCTTCACCCACTACAGCCTCTTTGCCTCTTACATAACTGCGCGATCGTGCTGTGACCCATCAGATCATTACTGAGGAGCATAATTAGCCTCCCTGACTGTAAGTCATACCAAAATATCACCCGTGAAGCTCTGACGCTGTGTCCCTTAGTCACCTAGTTTACAGAGGCTGGGAGAAGCCATGATGTCATTCATCCACCCAAGCAGAAAACACTGACTGAACTGGATCTGAGTGCCCGGCAGGGTGCTAGAGATAGGACAGGCGGCAGTGCCCAGCCCCTGCCAGGAGCTTGCAGTCTAGTGGGAAAGCCAGAGTCTTTCCGGAGCTTTTGCGCCTGGTGTGGTGGTGAATGTCATAGGTCCCAGGCCTGGTGCATGGTGTAGTTTTCGTACATTGGGAACAGAGAAAACACCGGCCTCTGCTTTATGTTCCAGGCTGACCTAACCGCCTCTTGGATTCCGGTTGTCCTTTCAAGCTGCGGTGTTTCCAGGGGAGCTCTTGGCCCCTGCCCTCACCCGTCTTGTCGGTAGCACTTCTGCCCACTCACTCGTTCACTCAGGTCAAGGACAGCGAGTTGTCCTTCATTTCCTCCTTTCCTGGTCACATCCAATCCATGGGTGAGTCCTGACTGGTCATATCCAAACTTGAGCAGGGCATGGTGGTGCACGCCTGTAATCCCAGCACTCAGGAGGCTGAAACAGGAGGGTCTTTGGAAATTTGAGACCAGCCTGGGCTACAAAGTGAGCTCAAGGCCAGCCTGAACTGCATAGTGAGACCCTGTCTCAAAAAGACAAACAAACAATCTTGAGATGGCATCTGTCTGCTTGCCTGTCACTACACCCACCGAAATCTCTCACCCAGCTCTGTGTGATTACTCAATTCCCCTTTAATTTTCTGTGGTACTGGGTACTGAGCTCGAGGTCTTGCACCTGTGAGGCAGTTACTCTACCAGGAAGCGACAGCCCTAGATATTTTTTGAAAATTGTATTTTGAGACAAATTCTAAGATGCTCAGGCTGGCCTTGAACTTGCGATCCTCCTGCCTCTTCGGTAGCTGGAACGTCAGTCATGCACGCCCGGGCCCACACTTGACCCTGCTTCTCAGGCCTATGCCGCCCAAGTAACTCACTTTCCCTCTCTCAGAGGCAGCCGCTGCTGCTCTTCCTGCTTCTGCCCAGTGTCTCCCTTCTCCCCAATGACCTCGCCTCCTCTTTTCCTGGCAGTAGGGGTCCAGCCCGCCAGAACCACACCCCCGCCTTCCCAGCACAAGTCTGCGCACCGGGGCTCTTACATATGCCCCCTCTTTTCTGTCCTTGCTACTCTTAAGGCCTAGCGTCCTCTGCCACCCCCATGTCTTTCTATCTACTGGATCACTGTCCTGCTGTCTCCCTTCTGAAAAATCCCCTTTCTTGCTCAAGGCTTCCTCCCACTGCTCCCCTCTCTGCTGTCCTTGACAGCAAAACTTCTCCAAGCGTTCTTGTCCTCTCCCGCCACCCTCTCCAACTACTCCACATTGGTGTCTGCCTCCACTGCTCCCCAAACCGGCTACAGTCAAACCAGCCTGCACTCGGACAGCCTCTCAGAGGTCACTGCTCAGCCTCTGTCTTGTGTCTCTCTCAATCGTTTTAAAAACATCTGTTACAACCCAGGCGTGGTGACTCACACCTATAATCCCAGCACTCGGGAGGCTGAGGCAGGAGGATCGTTGCGAGTTTGAGACCAGCCTGGGCTACAAAGTGAGCTCAAGGCCAGCCTGAACTGCACAGCGAGACCCTGTCTCAAGAAGATAAAAAGTGAACAAACATCTATTGCAAATTATGACCGGCCATTGTTTGGGGTGGAACTCCTGAATCGGGACACGACAGACCAGTTCAAACCAACATGGAGTCTCTTCGTGTTAAATGCCATAGAATCAAAGCGAAACTTTAGCGAAGCAGAGGGATCCCAAAACAGAACAATTGTCCCTGAAAACTGAAAACCCTGGTCTACCTGAGTCAATTTAATAAGGAAGTCACTGTGCTTTAACCCTTCCAGAAGAAAGTAACCTGCCTTTTTTTTGATGTTTTTGAGACAGAGTCTCGCTATGCAGTTCAGGGTGGCCTTGAGCTCACTTTGTAGCCCAGGCTGGTCTCAAACTTACAAGGATCCTCCTGCCTCAGCCTCCCGAGTGCTGGGATTACAGGCGTGCACCACCACGCCCGGCTCTAATAACCTGACATAACATAACATTATGTCATAGTTTTTCCCTTATTGCTCTGTTTCCTGGCTCTCACCTTACAAAACCCACTGTTCCTCTGTTGCTCAGCGGCCGTGGTCGTTCTGCTCTGTAGCCTGGAAGCTGCCTTGATTCATGAATCGCCAACAAAAGCAGTGCGATCGCTAATTCAGCTTGCTGTCAGTTTGTCCTCTGACACATCCACGGCCACCTCTCAGCTCACGCAAGCCTCGTTGCGTTTGGGCCTCGCCTATTCTCTGCAGACCAAGATGGGACAGGAGACCCAGGTCACGCGTTTCTTTTCTTTTTCACACGGGGTCTCCATGTGTCTGCTGGTGTGGGAAGCGCAGGAGTGGAGTGTCGGCCGGGGAAGGCCGTGGGATATCCACTGCGATCGCCAAAAACTGTCCCCACAGACCTGTGCTCTTCATCTTGTACACAGGTTAGAAAGGGAAAAAACAAAACCAAACCACCCCAAACAAAACAAGTTCAAGAAAAGTGCTGGTGTTTCCTTTTCTCAGTTTCCATGACCGCTGTGCTGACGGTGTCTGCGCAGCAGAGAAAGGTTGAGTGCCACAAAATAAAACGCCTGGCAAGAGTTGGCGCTCACTTGCAGGGCTCCCGCCTGTGTGAAGAGCTGGGAGGTGTCACTCACAGTGGGCAGTGAGCCGTGGAGGTGACCCGCTGGCTGTCGTCAGAAGGACGTGACAGCCGTCCGGCCTGGCATTACGCAGGGTTCTCTTGCAGCTAGGATTCTGTCTCGGTGACCTTGTCAAGAACTTGGTTATAGAATTCATGAATCTCTTACAATTCTCTTTAACTTTTGTGCTAACAAAGACCACCTCACGGAGCAACTTGAAACCTCAGCCCTGCGGGGCGTGATGGCTCACACCTGTGATCCCAGCACTCAGGAGGCTGAGACAGGAGGACAGTTGCAAGTTCAAGACCAGCTTGGGCTACAAAGTGAGCTCAAGGCCAGCCTGGACTGTGCAGCAAGATCTTTTCTCAAAAAGACAAAAGAAAGAAAGAAAAAGAAAGAAAGAAAGAAAGAAAGAAAGAAAGAAAGAAAGAAAGAGAGAGAGAGAGAGAGAGAGAGAGGGAGAGAGAGAGAGAGAGAGAAAGAAAGAAAGAAAGAAAGAAAGAAAGAAAGAAAGAAAGAAAGAAAGAAAGAAAGAAAGAAACCTCCACCCCTTCTGGACCTCATCCTTACCAAATCCAGCCTTTTCTTCATTATCCATGTCCACTTCCTCAGACCCCTTTCATCTCTTCCAGACTTGGCGGGGCTTAAATTTCTCCTTCCTCCAAAAATGAATCAAGCCTGTCACTTTGGCAAATTTTCCTTTGGCACTGGGTTGCAAATTGAGAGTAACCCAGGCCCCCTCTGTGTGTCTTTTGCTTTTTGGCACCTCGTGAAAGAGTGATCTGCTGGGCGTGGTGGGGCACACCTATAATCCCAGCACTCAGGAGGCTGAGGCAGGAGGATCTCATGAGTTCGAGACCAGCCTGGGCTACAAAATGAGCTCAAGGTCAGCCTGAAGTGCATAGCGAGACCCTGTCTCAAAAAGACAAAAAAAAAAAAAATGATCCAAGCAGCAGTTGGCATGGCCGCTCCTGCACTGTGATTGCCAGGTGGCAGGGCCCAGCTCTTGTCCTTCCCTCTTCCTCCAAGATCAGGCTGTCACAGGCCCTCAAGAGCCACTTATTGCTGAAGCAATGGCGAGACCCCGATCCCAGGCCCGCTGGGCTCCTGGAAATCCTTCCTGCTCTGACAGACACACAGTCTGTGCGGCAGGGAGGGGAAAGGTCCTGTGTGACTCCAGCCTTCCCGGCAAGAAGGAACGAGGGAAACAGTCCTGCACAGTGAATGAGGGGCTTTTAGGCTAGTTGCTGGGCTGAGCCTGCTCCTGTGCTTGCACGGTGGTGGTGTGAGGGCCGTCATTTCTTTCTATGTCTCAAAATCCACAAACCAACAAGTCCCGTAGAGGGAACAGAGTGGCCCTGAGGGGAAGGAAAGGAACGGCCCCCTTCTTGTGTGAATCCTTAGGGTGAAGTTTCCAAGAGCTGGGGAAAAGTCAAATACCCTTCCTCTCTGTGGGGGGGCGGTGAGACAGGCCAGGGGCTGCGACGGCCTTCTTTTTTTGTTTTGTTTTGTTTTGATTTTTTGGTTTTTTTCTGGTACTGGGAATTGAACTCATGACCTTGCACTTGCCAGGCAGACGCTGTGCCGCTGAGCTAAATCCCCAGCCCCTTTTTTTTTTTTTTATCTTTTTGAGACTGGGTCTCACTATGCAGTTCGGGCTGGCCTTGAGCTCACTTTGTAGCCCAGGCTGGTCTCGAACTCGCCACGATCCTCCTGCCTCAGCCTCCCGAGTGCTGGGATTACAGGCGAGTGCCA